TTCTTGATGTACATATATGACATCGTGGGTGACATCAAGTCAAATATTAGACTCTTTGCTGACGACACCATTATGTACCGACAGGTTGTATCACCTGCGGATCATCTCATCCTTCAACAAGACCTTGACAGACTAACTTCATGGAGTTTAATGTTAAGAAATGCTACCACATTTCCTTGACCAACAAGCAATCCGTTGTCATACTACCATATTACACGCATAGTCAGGTCTTGGAACATGTAACTTCCTTTGATTATCTGGGTGTTAGATTAACCAGCAAGCTAAATTGGAAAGAACACTGTGACAAAACTTCCAACAAAGCCAATAGGGCTCTCGGACTGGTCAAACGGACATTGCAACCGTGTACACCCAAAGTCAAGGAAAGAGCCTACAAAGCAATTATTCGACCTCGACTAGAATATGCAAGCGCTGCCTGGAATCCACATACAAACAGGGACACTGAAACTATTGAAAAAGTCCAGCGACGAGCTGCTCCTTTCATCGCACACAATTACAAGAGATCTACAAACTCAAAAGATCTTGTAAATCAACTTGGTTGGGACTCCTTGGAATCCAGACATTTGCTGGCCCAAGTGACTCTTTTTATAAAATCAAAAATAATCTCATAGATCTTGAATTCCCACATTCTATCCAACCAGCTCCTAGACCAAGGATCCAACATGCCATGCTCCAGCCACACACAAGTGTTTTGGCGCACAGTTATTTGACGTTTATACAAACCGTTCCGGTATGGAATAAACTGTCAACTCAAACAGTCCAAGCTAAGAACATTACTTCTTTTAAATTATTAGCCATAAGGGACATTCTGAACATGAAGACCCCAAACCACCTGAAAAGATTTTGAACTAATTACATTTATTGTTTATTTTAGACTTCACATATTTATCGTAGATTATTAGCACAACAAATTAGTTATTCTATATCTCCCAGTGTTAGCCTAGCTATTTGGGAGCACAAGTTCCAAGTTCCAAGTCCAAAACATTTAGACATGGCTTGTTAAGAAGTGAGGGAGTTAGAGCTTCAAAATAATGCGGCTGTCTGTTGAAGCAGAAATCCATCATACAATGTGTAGCTTATATGTTCTAAGTTAAGCTTTGTAGCTGTATGAAAATGTCTCTTGAAAAGTGTATAGATTTCTTCGTGCTGAACAGTGTCATCCTACCCCGCCAGCAGGGTAGTGTCATCCAGTTAGTTTACCCTAGTTCTTATTTTGCTAGAAATCTAAAACTGCAGGGGTTTCATTAAAATTTAAGGCAGGAGGGCATCTGGATTTCACAGGCGGGCATCTGTCTGCAAGGCCCAGAGGGCCTTGCCTTCTTGAGGGGGGGGGGGGCGTCCGGGGGCATGCTCCCCCTTAAATTTTTGAAATTCTACAGTTGCAGAGATGCATTTTCCACCATATTGAAGCTCAACCTAACATCCCATAGTTACCAGCTCTTTTTAAATTATGATTTGATGCATCAGTCAACAGACAAATTGGTAGATTTGCTTTTGCAACATTTGGTTGAAATGTAAGGTCACTAGAAGCTGTTTTAGTAACATCACGTATTTCATTATTTGCTAGGTTCTCGGAAGGCGTTGTTTCTGTGCAGCTATCATTTGCTGGGATCTCAGAAGACATGGTTTCTGTGCAAATATAGAGTGGAATATAAGTGTAAACGATTGTTAAGTTGTTCGTTTCAGAGGGTATATGATTTCAATAAAAGTATAAAAAATGAAAAGGTGTTGGCGTTAGATTTCTTCTATTTTCTAATCTTACTAAGATGGATCTGCTAACAAACACACGGGGTTAAANTATGTTTTGGCTTTACTAAAGACATTTACCGCAACAAACCGTGAACCTAAGATTTCTGAATCCAATGTGCTAATTCATTTTAATTTACAGCATTGAAGGCCCTAATAGGGACTTTAAGCAGTCAGGACGGCAACGCCACGGAAGACGTCGATTAAAAAATGAGTTTCTACTTTTAGTTAGAATTTCGAAAATGGCTGCATGTGTTTACCGTCTCATAGGGCGCCAGACCCCAGACTCAACATAACGCATAACAGTAGCGTTGAGTTCCAAATGTAAATTAGAATAATCTGCCGCCGCGGTTTCGCTTCGAAGACGACGCAAATTTTGGTGATTTCACGTTGTTGTTTAGCAAAGGATGGCTAAGAAATGTACAAAGTTTTAAAACGTACATGCTAGGCTATTGTTCTCCCAATTAGATCTATTGTTTTCCGACGTTCTCGTTGCCGTCGTGGTTTGCTTATATTCGTGAAGGGCAAAGATATGCCTAGTCTCCATCGCTGTCGTTTTAGTCTCGTCACGCAACGCTCCTTCCCACTCATCAGGCAGATTTAAATCTGCCTGATGAGTACTTAACGCACGAAACTCAGTGTTGCAGCCAACCATGTGTGTTTCCTTCTAGTCACTTAATGTTATATAAGTTTAAATATATTTGTTTTAGAAGATACATTAGGAAAACATAGGAAAGTAACTTTTATTTTTTTCTTATGGTTGAGATGTTAAAAGCAGCCGGGCAATGTCGCCTTCACAGCCGGTCAGTTGCCCGGTGCCGGGCCCTTAATGAAACCCCTGCTTCTTATATACTGGTGTAACCAAGGCCTTTGACCAGTCATCAGGTAGCCTGCCGAAATCGTAACTTTGTTGAAAAAGAAAGGTAAGTACAGGAGACAATCCGTTAGTTAATAACTTCAGTATACGAGGTGACAGATTGTCCGGGCCACCTGCTTTGTTGGGATTCAAATTGCAAATTTGCTTCTTGACACCATTTACATAAAACGACAGATATGGAATTGGCGGATAATCAGATAAACCAATTTCAGGTAGGACACCGTCATCATCCACGAATACGTTTTTCTCATAAGCGACGGCCTCTTCCTCGGAACGGTTGCAAGTGGCTCTACCTTTCCCTCGTACAAAGCACGATAAATCCAGTACTTCTCCTCAATACGCAGGGTTGTAGCTGAGAAATTACGCTTCTGGCTGAAATTTCAAGTGAGGCGGCTCAAAGGTAGTGAGCGATCGTAGTGCATCATTGTGTAACCTCAGAAATGGCCGTTATGCTTTGCCAAGCAACTGACCAAAAATCCCGCTTGCG